TATATATATATAGACAATATTTTTCGATAGATTTAGAACATGTGTGTTATATACAAACAAAACATGTTAGATTTTGTTAGTATCCTAATAATATCCTAAATATACGTCAAACCTTATGAGAGATACAAGATGCTACAAAAGATTGCAAGATTCTATTTTTCTTTTCGATCATAAAAAGATTTTTAAAAACACGTCGTACTGATGAATTACTTCCTTCATTATGCAACTCTCGATACTCTTATGAGTCAATTAGAAAAGAATTTTTTGCGCGGAGAGATATATTATTGGAGCAATCGGGGGCATGAGATCAGAAATTCCTTAACGAAATGTTTCTTAATCGATTCGGAGATTCGCGAGTCTCATAGGCGAAAATGCACTTTCTCCGATGAACACACGGTCGGAGCATCCCGGGCTTGTTTGTTTGCCGACAACTCGTAAGCTCTTCTCGCGAACTCCTTTCACGCGTGCACGATCGTCCCAAATATCTCACCTACCTACTCGAATCGATTCGTATATTCAACGTTTTTAAATGGCCCGGACCAGCGGCAAGGACACTCGCGATCACCTTCACCTTTACTTCCGTTATGTCACCCTTTTATCCGAATGACATGATCATGTCACAGAATATAATGAGTCTGCAACACTGACAAACGGACAACCCACTTCGCAAAAAATGTTTCGAAAGATCATTAGTAAGCGATCGAGTGTCAAATTTGCAATATATATTTCTTTCAAGTATTTTATTAAAAATCTAATAGTATAGATATTTTTATACATTTTCCTTATTTTAATTTTTATTATACAGTGTATCTTATTACCATCGAATGTTTTTTTGATAGCAAATTCTTTAGCCAATTTAGAGACAATTTTTTTAGCAAAAATGTCAAAAGAACAATAATTTTCAATTTATAAACGATTGAAAAGAAGGATTTTTCAAATTAAACTTTATGGAATCAAAAGATTCACAAAACTACATTCTTTAATCAATTCCAGATGAAATTTACTTTGAGGACATTTTAATTTGAGGCTTAATTGCAAAGATATATCATGGAAAAATTGGAAATTTGTAAAAAATGAATCTCACTCCGACATTTTTGTTAAGAAAAAATCGACTGCTGGTTTTTTGGAACATCTTATACTTATATATATATAGATATTTTATTATATATGTTTCTTTTATTCATTTTTAATAGTTTTATTTTATAATTTTTTATTTTGAGATATTGTTTTATATATACATCTATATAATATTTGTTTGCAACAAGCGATGAAGAAACTATCTGATGATACTTAACGTTATTGTGATACAATATTATGATTTCTAGTTTTACGAACTTACACCTCCACGATGTTATTAATATCGCGCTATAGCGATATATTCATGTATCATAATGATGGCATACAGGTACTTTTATAGGTGTGATGACATATGCTCGCGATTTAATGAAATCTAGAGTATACAATTTAGTATGTTACACGTTGGAGAAAGTTTATCTCTACGGACGTGTACGTAAACTTCCTGATGACATAATGGAAAACAGCGGCATCATCTGACGATGTTCTTACAAGTAACCTAAACGCTGAACTTGACATAATAAGAAAAAGAAAGTAAAGTATATACTTTTGTCTTACTTTCTCAAATACTATTCTTGTTGTACATTAGAAAGTGTTCTTTTACACACAAAAAAAAAACCAAAAATAAAATTTAATTAAAATGACAACAATTAAATAAGTTATCACTATATTTTATATTTTTAGAAAATGTTTCATTAAATTTGACAAACGTACACGAGTCTCTTTCACAAACGGGACTATCTGCGCGAGAGAGAAACAAAGATTCAAGTACATATGACTGTTTGAAAGAATTTTATCTCATCTCCCTTATACGAGAGAAACGTAAGACAAATATGGCACGAGTTGAATATCTATTCTCTGAGATTATCTACGATATACACACGGCGAATATAATGCATGAGTTGCATGAGAATTGAATAATCAAAATGCTTCCCCATCAACTGTATAATTATAACGGAAATGTAATATATCATTAATTTAATGTTGCAATGTTGTTTTGATCACGTATGTATATCTGTCGCCATGATTTTTTATCGTAAGCAAATAATTAACTCGCCGAAGATTAATAAAAGCAAAGCAGAAAGGTACATTAAAAATTGATTCGAGAAAGAAATTGAATATGAAAACGCAGTTTTCTCTCTTTCTCTCTTGTTAAACATAACACATTAACTATTTCTATAAAGGTCTAATGTATTGTATACACAGTGGAGAAATCTTTAAGAAAAAGTGTCTTTATTAAAAAAAAAAAAAGATTACATTCTCAAGCGCAAAATCGATAATCCTATGATAATACTGTCTTATATATATATTCTAATGAAAGGCAGGACCGTAAGTGGGCGACGGTATCCCCGAGTAAGTATTCCTCGCACCGAAATTGTTATAGCTATCTACAGAATTGGAGCCGGCTTGATAGTTGTAGTTGTTGGCGCTATTTGCGTACTGTCCACCGTTTGATTGGTAATTGTAACCACCCTGGGTGCTACCTGCTGATAAAAAAAAAGTCGAGATAATTCAACAATTCGAAAAAAAAATTATACACGATATATCAGATATCCTTTAAAAATAAAAGAAAAGATTCTGCGCATTATGTACCTCCGGTGTATCCGCCGTTTCCACCGCTTCCACCGCTACCCAATTGGTTCCCCCCCGGGTAGCCGAAACCCTGACCAGCGTTGTATCCGTTGCCCTGCGTGTTGTATTGATCCGGATAGCTCGCGGTACCCTCGTACCTCACGTCCGCGTGGAAACCGGTCCTCCAGTCGGCGGTGTAGGTGACAATCTGCGTCCTACCGTCCGGTAATTGTACTCTGTATTCGCCACGAACGGTCTCGCCATCGCTCGTCTCGCGTCTGCCGAAGTCATTCCCGGTAGCGTCGTCCTTCACGGAATAGCCGAACTCGTAGCTCTTGGGCTGAAGCAAGATCGGACGAGGGAGTGAATCGCCTTTTCCTCTCTCCCACGTGTAGG